TCTGCATTCTTGACATGCTTTCTTTTATCCCTTCACTGGATTTAAAAATAAAAAATATCTGTAAATCTATCATATATTGCAACCACTGTTTTTGCAGTTGCAAAATGCACTTGCTGCCTTCCCAACAGTGGTATTTATGATCTCTAAAATATATGCTCATGTTTAATCCTGCTATGAGTTGTTTTGTATTTTTTCCTAAAATCAAATGCTAAGTGCTTATAAATGAATCTATTTTGCAGATGATGTGATTTATTCTTAAAAGCAGAAAGCTAGAAAGTGGTGTGTTGTTTGTTTTTTGTTTTTTGTGGGTTTTTTTTGCAGAATGCTTTGAAAATGAGCTCTATATCGAAAATCATTATTAGACAAAGCTTAAATAAGTGTTCTTGGGGATGAGGAGGATGAAAGGGGAGAGTACAGATGATGTTAAAACTATTGTTTTGAGGATTCACTGACTTGTAAGTCTGATTCTTGTAACAAGAAAATAATTCTAAATATTGTCCTTTGAAAGGACAGGAATGGAGCCTTAGTGAGCAGGTATCACGCTCTCTTTGTAACAAACTTTTCAGAATAACCAGAATAAACCAGAAGGTGCACATTTAGGTTTAAAAGACACTTCATCAAAAATGTAAAAAAATCACAAACAGCTGTCTACAGCAAAATGCAGCGCACACTGATTTCTGTGATTCGTATCTTCTATGCATTCTGTTTGTATGTAAGTCAAACCTGTGTTAGTAACTATACACAGATTTTCCGTGGCCATGAAAAGAACATATTTGGGGTGTTAAAAAACATAAGGAAATGAGAGTTAAAAAAAAATCGATTCTAAAGTTAATGTCCTGAATATTCCAAACCTGAATCTGACAAGTGAAGCCTCCTGTTTTAGCAGGAAATTAATTTTGCTGAAGATATTGTATGTTTGGATTCACTATTTTTTGCATTATTTGAAAGCTGGAAAGTGACTTCAGTCTTGCTTCAATTCCACTGACTTTCAATGCAAACACAGTATTATTTGTTCCATAGACTTCCGTGAATGACAGTAAAGAACAATAAAGAAAAAAACAGGACTGCATGAAAGCATCCATCTCATTTTCTGAATACTGCAACACAGGTCGTAGTAGGACACAAAGTAATTGAAAGAGGTTGATTTCTGGTGCGCTTGATTACAGCTCTGCGTCTGCAGAACTACTGAACAGATTGTCATTTTAGATTATTCCATTTTCTTTCCATCAGAAAAACAAAATCCCTGAAGGATCGTGTAGTTGGCTAAGGAAGCAAATAACATTTTCCAAATGAATGATACATTTATTCTTGAGGAAGAAGCCGTAACTAATAAAGAGGCATTTTCCTAATCCTGCTTTTCAATTTCCATCCCATGAATTTGGTGAAAAGTGTGTGCAAATGGAAAATGACTTACAGTGGAAAGCAGTTTTCAGCTTTACGGAAATTATTCTTCTGTACCTTTTCCTCTAAGTTGAATTTTTCTTGCACAGGCATTTTTTGAATGTGCACAGCAGCACTCTAGAGAAAGAGCTTTTGCAGTAGCTATTCTGATTTTTCAACTCTTATGCTTCTTGGTGACTTGTAAATGTATAGGTACAAGACTGTTTGCATTTCTTTTTCACAGATCTCACACTTGAAATTATTGCATTCAGTAATGTTTTGGGTTATTTTAGAACTATTCCAATTCATAATTTTCTAACACCTGCTATTCTCTTATGCTGTATGAGCTAAATTTCTCCCGCCCCTCCCAGTCTTCTCTGTATTTGTTGAGTAATGAAGGACGCTTGCCTTTGTAGACTTTCTTACAAAATATTCCAAACTGTTTATTTTCTCTCTTATTCAGGATTATTGCAGTAGTTCAGAGGAACTCTACCAACCTGCCAGTTGCTCTGATGAGTCATAAGACTGTAATCCTGTTCCTCCACGTTCATTAAAGAAGCCTGGCATGCTTGGCTAGTCCATGGCAGCTATAAATCTTTGTTCTTGCTGCATTCCAGTTTCTATTGTTCTCTCTTCTAATTCTTAGCAGTTTATTTAAACCTACACAATGTGACAAAGCTTTTCGCCCCCTGAAGCGGCTGCACTGAAATTACAAGTTAATCGATTCATCTTTACCTGACTGAGGTTTGTGCAAGGCTCTGAGCCTTTCAGGCTTTCTGTCTTATCCTGGAGCTTATGGCTCACTGCCACCTCTGCAAACAACTGGGAAAGAATCGCATTTTTTGACTTGTCTAGATTTTGCTGCCTCAGTTTTCATAAGCTCTTCTTGAGAAACATTTAAAGAAAATTCTTCCAAACTCAGAGTGTCAGGAAGTCTACCTTCTCATGATGGAAGAGGCCATTTGCCCTTACTTTGAGGGTTTCATTTGTGGCTTACTCCTTGCCCACACTCCAGGGGCACATCGTATTCTGAAGCTGTGCTTTGCAAGGAAAAGTGCTTCTGTAATCAGCACATGCTGAAGAGATAATTAAGCCTTGAGAGGTTATAAGATTTATGGTGGAAATCAGGAAAATATATTCTGAATATGAGCTTGTATTTGTAGAAAGCAAGACTTTTTCAGGGCGATCAATTTTTTGATTTACAGCTCAGGCATTGGGCAGCAATGCAGAAGCCTTCAGCCCTCAGCCTCTGTCAGAAAAGTACCTCATGTTTTTAAATCTGTTTACATAATGGTATTTTTTGTGACCTTCTAGACATAGCAGAGAGAAAGTTCCCCAAAGTAAAGCTGTCTGTGCATTCAAAGCCTCCCTCCTTCCTCACTGTGCACCCACTGCAACTGATGCCATGCTGCATGGGGAAGCTGGGAGGGGTCTGTCCCGGCACCTCCTCCCCACTTCAGCCAGCCCACTTCTGTTGCCCTGGCACAAGGCTGCTGTGTCTCATTTACAGGCTGAGATTGTGACACAGGATCTTCTAGATGCTTAAGAATTGTTCTCTCCATATTGTTACCCATTTTAAAGAAGGAGCAATCAGATTTTTAACATTGATGGGCTTGTGCTGAGTATTAAGTCTACTCAGTTTTAGAGAAGAATGGAAAAACAAAGGAAATGATGGCCCAGCTATTTCTTCTAGTGGCATGAGCCACCTGTTGTTTCTCCAAATTAAATACCTCACTAAATTTGATTTGATGACTTGGATGGTGACCATGAGTGGATATCCTCACAGGGGAGAAATAAAGTGCAAAAAGAAGTGAGAGAAACTTTGCTCTTCACTTTTTCATCGCTCCCAGAAACCTCATTCTTCTCTGATATAACAGGAGACAGATATGTTTGTTTCTCCAGTGTCAAAGTACTGCTATCTGATCTGTAAAAATTAGGCTACTGCATCGCTCTGTTGATTAAATATTTAAGAACAAACATTGAATTATGTGGTGTATAGAAGTGTTTCTTCTCTGTCAGTAGCCAAAATCTGATATGCCTCCATCTTGCTCTAATCTGGGAATACAAATGAAAAGCTTTATCAATGAAAAACAGCTGAAGATAAGCGACAAGTGTGACTTCAAAACCTGAACAGCCGCAGACTTCACAACTGGTACAGACTGCGTATAGATATAACATAACTGCAGTTGATACCCTTGTATGTGTTTGTGCCACAGTGAATTTATTTTTACAATTCTCTTTCTGTGAAGACAGGTCCCAACTGTTTATAAACAGCATTCTGCCAGCCTCTGTCATTTGCATCCCTTCAGAACATTTCAGCAGTGCACCATAGCAATGTATTGCAGCTCTTTGGAGGCAGAGGACAGTGGGCAGTGCCTGGAGCTGCAGTGCCAGGGGGGCAGATGTGTGGTGAGCCTTCCTCCCACAGCTGTGCAGCCAGCTGTGTGCTGTGTCCTCCCCACTCCCCTGACTCTTAAGGGATGTTTAAAAGAAGTAATAACTTATTTAGTGCAAAATTTAGGCGGGTTTTGAGCAAATACGCTGTTTTTTTTTTTCTTGTTGTCTCTGTATTCTGCTAGATTTTTTTGTGTTACACATCTTAAATATTTTGGTTATGGATCTAGGGTAGTAATACAAAACATACTTATGTTTCTTCTTTTTTTCTGTTAAATATTGCTTATGATTTTCTGTAGGCCTTTGATTGAGTTTTCTGCTGGCAAGTGACTGCCTTTCAAAATGGCTTCCTCTGCATATATGCACGCTTTTATTGGCTTCATCTGTGAAACAGCCATGCCCAGTTTTACCTAAGTCTTGCTTGGTAGTGCTTCTTAAAAATGATCCCTGAAAGATACCTTCTCTTTTCCTTTCCTTATCGATTTTCTATTTCCCTCTGTTTTGCTATGTTAGCTGTATATCTTAAAGAATCAGATCGTTCCATTCGTACATTGTAGGTAGATAAGCTGAAAGACCTGAATTTTTCCACACGTTCCTTTATTCCTGCTGTGTTTCAGGTACACAAATAGTATATTTGGAACTTCAAGTGATAAATAAATATTTCTGATAATTTTAAAGTAAATTTAGTAGCTCTGTCAGATATGCTTCAATACCTCCCTCTGTTTTAGCAAGGACTTCATTTCCACCTCACCGTTTATTTTTGGAAAGAAAAACAAAGAGTGTGTAGGGAAAACTGGTTAAGCCACAGTTTCAGTCAATTCATTATATAAAAAAAAAATAAAATAGTTCTTGTAAGTTTCATTCTAAATTCTCATCATTTCTGTTGTATTTGGAGATCATTTTGCATTTCAGTATCTTTATTATCCATGTTGGGATGCAAAGATACAAAGATAACAGGGCAAGACATTCTGTAGCTTGTTTTCTCCTGCTCTCAGTATTTTTTAACCGCATCCCTTAAAATAGAAATGCAAAACTATGTGTCCTACTTTCCCCTTACTGAAATAGATGCCTTTTGTTAATTTTAGATACAGAAGGGCAGGATATGTAATTAATGATATCAAAGAACCCATAAGATATTCAACAGGGTCCTAACATCAAGGACAAAAGAAGTCTGACAACAGCTGTCCCTAATGATTTGGTTTGTAAAATGTTTTCTTTTATTTCAGGAAGTTGGATGCTTTCATCTATGATGCAGCAGTGCTGAATTACAAGGCTGGAAGAGATGAAGGCTGCAAACTTGTCACAATAGGCAGTGGATACATCTTTGCCACTACGGGCTATGGAATAGCACTTCAGAAAGGGTCACCGTGGAAGAGACAAATTGATCTCGCCCTTCTTCAATTTGTTGGAGATGGTAGGGACCAATCTTTATTCTTTCCTTTCCTTTTTCTGCATATGCGATGTTAATTCAGTTTTAATAGCTCTGAGGATTTTACTGATCTTCTCTTACAGTCTTTATGGAAAAAAACACAGTGTAAACAAATGGGTAAAATATTTCTCCGTGTTCTTAGACAGGAATTCTCTTCTACTCTGTTTTTTAATTCACCTCGCTGCCTAGGACACTTGCATCTATTTTCAGAAAGAGTTTCCATATGCATCACAAAATAATGTTGGCCTCAATGTTAAAAAGCATTTCTAAATTTGCTTATTTTCTTTTCTTTTTTGCCTGTGAGAAATTCCTGAGGATTTTTTACCTTGTAGACAAGTTGTCTTTCAGCATGGCCAAGTTAGCTCTTCTATACCTGTCTTGTAGGTAGAGGAATTAATATGATTATTCTCATTGACGAGTTCTTTGAGCTCTTCCTTATGGCAAGAAGAGAGAAAGACTGACTGAAACTGCGACTGACTTTAACTAGTCTTAAAATCCTTAGACTATAACTGTCTAAAAGCCTCGCTCAGATCAGTGTGGTACATGTTACGTTATGATTCTGAGTCTTTTACATAGATACATATGTTCACTTTACATTTCTTTGACAGTGAAATAGAGGGTTTCATAGGAAAAGAACTCTTAAAACATGTCATAGCAGTTTAAATTGTCAAGTGCAGGACCTTAGCTTTGTGGCCTCCTGTTCAATTAAAAACAACAAAAATCCTTTAGACAGTAATTTTCAAACTGGAGACAGTGAGTGTGTTAGTCTTCAAGCACATGGATTTTATTTCTATTATAATACTAAATCTCTGAAAGAGGCGTAGTCATCATTACTGATGGATTTGGTCTGGTTTGTAAGGAGAAATACTAGTGTCACCATTATTGATCTGCTGAATTTAGAGAGGCTTAGGGAATAAACATTGCTTGCTTCTGCTAAGAAATGAATATATCACCCACACTGACTAGGTTTCAAGCAAATAAGTATTCTTTTATGTAGTAGGAATTAACTGGCTAAAGTTTTTGCTTTCTTATTTCTGAGTATTTTGTGAATATAACACTTTTTCTACTTATGTAATAGTATTAAGAAGTGTTAGATGCTGTAATTCTGACCCTTCGTAATAGGAAGACAGAATCAGAGAATTGAAAATATTTGTCCCAAAATAAAAGGGAAAAAGCTGTCACAGTCTGAAAGAGGATCTGAGGTCTTTCTCAGTTATGGGCAAACCCCTCTAGATGTGCCAGAGCATCACTGTGGCCTTGCATTTTCTTCCTGCTTACTCTCATTATTTTTGATAACTTCCTCATCCAGCAAAAAGAAATGAAATGCCAGGGAAAGAAAATAAACAAAATAGAAATTATTTGAAGCTGTTCCATTATTACAAAAAAAAAGAAGAAAAAAAAAATCCTAAAAATACCACAGGTAATGCATTTATACATGTCACTTTGTCTCCTGGTATCAGGGAGAAAACAAAATGGATGGAAAAGAAGAGGGAAAAAACCTTATAATTGTACTTATGCTTTGCCTTTGAACTTACATAGCATATGAATGTTTATCTCCCTAAATCATATTTAGTAGCTGAAAATAAAACAATTGGGTTGTCTACAAAACTTGATATTAGAGCTTCCACAGAAATAATGTACAGAATAGCATTTGGTACATATAGCCTGTCATGAATGAAAGCTTGTCATGAAAGTACTGCTCCCACGTTCATCAATGTTTAGATTACTTCAGAAGATAAGCAAAAGTGGTACTTTTCAATATGTTTAGACAGAATTCTGAACAACCCATGAATGCTAACATGATCACTTTCTCTTTTAACAAATGTCTAATCTCGTTTGGAAAATTGTTTGGGCAGAATATAAGAGGACAGCGGTTGGTCGTATATGATGGGAAAGAATAGGTGTGTTTCTTTTAGTCCTGTAATTGTTTGCTGCCTCATCTCACTTTATTGCATCATAGATCTGGATGATAATTTTCAGGATTATATATATATATGTGAATACAAAGAATAATGTTGAGATTGAAATTTCTTCTACTGCTTTGTAAAGTATGTTGTGAGCTGAAACAAAACACCAGGAAATTAAACGTAAAGAATTATTGCCTAGAACTCTCATGACCTGATATTTGTAAGCAAGGTCTAATTTCTGTAGTTTGATGAATAATCTTTTTTTGCCATGAACTTATGTAAGTCTGTTTTGATGAATCAGAAGGGATGAATCCAGAGTTCAGGCCAACGTCATTTTGCTGTATCACTAAAAATCTCTTTGAAGTTTTCCAGACTAAAAGCAAACATGTCTGAGTGGAAAGTTTCATCTTAGGATGAAACTCCTGGGAAATCCACACTGAAGTCTGAATGAGGTTGGTTAAGTAAATAAGCATACAAAATGAAAACAGAAAGACTTTTTTTGCATGTGTTGTCTCTGCTGATTTTATTATGCCTATAAAACAACAAAGTGACTGGCAGTATTGAATCATTATTTGGTATATGTAACAGAATATTCATCTCTACAGAATAGTTTCAGTGAATGACTGTAAATCTAATGAGTTTCCTAAATGTAAGAAAAATCCTAATTAATAGAAAAGATGCCATTTATTGATATGATTGCTACGTTAAGGAGTGAAAGAGAGAACCTTTTGGATGATACTTGCTAGATATTTGGATAAGACCATGTAATTTCTTTAAAAGATTTCTTTAAAAGTTTACTGTGATTTAAAAAATGATTTCATTCCTTTTTTATATTTGCCTCATTCTGAGATCTCGGAATGTATTTTTTAGAATCTTCTGTGTCCTACGTAGGTCTTTCCACTGTGATTTTTTTTGTGATTTTTTTTTTTTTTTCCTCTTCCATAATGGATATTATTGTATCCAATTCATATACGCATTCAGGTGAAATTTTTTTGCATGGTTGATAGGAACCTTTTTGCTCTCCCTCACTGATGTAAAACATCAAGCTCAAGTATTACTGACCTTTAGTAAACTTTTCATCCCACACGACAGTGTTTTTTCTGCATTGAAGTTAATAGCTTTGAACTGTCATTTGTATTTTGTTGCCACTGGTGAAAATTAAGGTAAATACAAAGGAACATAGATTTGTGTTAGAAATAGCTTTAACCTTAGACTGAGCGACTTATTTGTACCTACATGAGTTGAGTTCTGATCTTAAAGATAGTTTTGCTGGGTGGGCAGATTAATACTGCCAAATGACAATTGCAGTGGTAAAGTGGGAAGGAATCAGGCTACAGGATGCCACATTTATTATTCTAATCAAGAGAAAAGGAGAGATGGGGAAGGAACATGGGAAGGAGTTGCTCACAAACTTGAAGAACAGAGAATACCTGCCAACACAGCTATCCCCAGAACTGTTTGCTCACTTGGTCTGTGCAAGTTCATATACATTGCTCACTTCGTTGGAAGTTGAGATAAGTATGCATTTGTTATTAATAATGTTAATTACTTGGGATCACTGAGCCCTTTTAATATACTGAGTTAGGATTTTCTTGTACAATGGATACAGGTGAAGCAAACTACTCAGTGAATTTCCAGTTTTGCAGTTCTGACTACCTGTAAATCACATCTCATTATCTGAGCAGAATTGCAGTTGGCAATTAGAATCTGTGATTTCATTTGAAATAGTGGATCATCAAGGTAATTTTCTAAAGTACTGGTTGTGCTTTTTTATTTACTCAAGTTTTGCTTGCTATAGCCATAAGAGGAAACTTTCATTTTTTTAACTGAGAAATAAAAATGTTTGTACTGACACACAGAGGACTATTTCTCAGTCTTCTGCTGAGAAATAGAAGCACCTAAAAATTCCAAAACAACAAAATGATACAGCTGCTGAGAAACAGCACCATCATTTTGTTTGGATCTTTCGCCCACAACGACAGCGATGTGTCAGAACAGAGATGTTGAATACTGAAGAGTTGCATGATACGTGCTTTGATTTCTCTTATAAACCTCTGTAAGGAGCAGCTGGGAAGTCTGACATGCCCAATATCTCACACATTACCCCCAGAAGCTGTCAACTGCTTTTTTAGTGTGTTAGCTTGCAGTTTGATGAGTTCCATATATGCTCAAACACACAGGCTGAGTAATTCAACAAGTCTATAGCTGCTGAACTGCTGCATGGCACACACGTTCCTCCAGCCTTCAACATTACAAACTTTCAGCCAGCTGCTCTAGCTTGGGCTGCACGGTGTGATGTAAAGCAGAGCTATACTTCAAAATGTATATTGCAGAGTGCCTTGCAAGATGTTGCTTCTGAAATCTTCTGTAGTGTCATGTATTTGTGGTTTGGAGGAGAATCACTTTTATTTCTCTCTGGTGTTTTTGAGTAAATGAGACTATTGCACTGCAAAAGACAAAGTTGCTTTGGGATTAAGAGAGTAAAAGGGCTTCAGAGGGCAGATAGGATTGAGTGAAAGATAGCAGGGAACCTTTAGCAGTTTGGATAAAAGACACGTGCATGCAGAAATAGCTGGAAATGAGAGACAGAAAAATGCTGCGTAAAGAGGGCAAGTATGGAGAGGAGTGGAAGAATATCAGCCAGCTGGCAAGATGGAGCTTCGAGTGCATGTGAGGGATTTGTAACCTGTTTGCTACCTGCAGGCCATGAGCTCAGTTCAACCAGAGATCTGGGAAGAGATCCCCAGGAAAAGAGGGACAGATTGTATAGCTGTATTAAGCCCGACCCACAAAGCAGTGGCCTTTAGAGCAATTAGAGACACAAAGATGTAAAGAAGAAAACTGGTTTTGGTTTGAATTTCTTCAGAGAGTCTGTTATCCCCTTCCTAATACCTTTAAATTCTGGTTAATCTTTATGTGCTTTTTTCGATAGCTTAATGTGCTAAGAATCATTTTCCTGGGTGGATAATTGCTTCCCACACCTTAGTGGCAATAGGCAACTGTGGAAATAAGATTTGCCCCCTTACATGTGGAAGAGGAAAATGCCTTGCTACTTTTCTTCACGTTTTAGCAGAAGCC